CGGGCAACGGTTAAAACTTGGAGGGAAGCCGCTCGCCGTGACGCCGGCTGCGTGAAACAGTCGATCGAATAAGGGAAGAGAAAGAAGAGGGAGGACTCACGGGAAATCTCAGAGGGGAGGAGAGGGGAGGGGAGGGGGAATCGTAACAGCTGATTCTGAACGATCGACCCCGCAGCCCCGCCCCGCCGCGCGGACCAACTCCACCCCTGAGCGCTAACCTCCCCCTCCTCCCCCCGGCGGCCAGTGCAGTGCCGCAGTTCGTTGCGCTCGCGGTGCTGGAAGAACGGCAAGCAAAGAGACGAGGAGCAGGGTGGGGACGGGGAGGAGGATTATGGGAGAGGAGCGACGGAGCAAGACGGGCGGACGCGAGAAGAAAAGGCAGAATAAGGAAACCTGCGGGCAAAGGGGCTGTACACTATGTATTGAGCGCGCAGGTGTGCGCCCAGCGCGCCGACGGGAGACAGACGCGGAGGCGACGGTCCGGCACCGGGCAGTAAATAGTCAGAGCTCAGCCCGCTGTCAGGTCAGCGCCGCCGGCGGGGCGGGCGGGGGTGCCAAAGGGACGACGACGACCACGCAGCGCGAGCGGGGCTGCAGCAGGCGGCAGCCACGCCGGCGACACAGTTGTTGCGACGTGGTGTAACAGTAGAAACTATGCACCGGCGCGGCAGCGCGGCGTGGCGGAGCGTGGCGACGACGCCGCTCCAACGCAACGTCGCCGTCGCCGCCGTCGTCGTCGTCGTTGGCGCCGCGTTGGCGACATGACGCGGCGACGCTGCGCCCGTAACGCCCCGCCACGCTCCGTGCGCTCGCTCGATAGTCAATGCGCCAGCCAGGCGGGGCGGGTCCGCGCCGAAATTAACACCGACAACAGAGCGCGCATAACTCCTCGCAACTTACCTAACGTGCCCGCCCGCCCGGCAGACCCGGCGCGGCGGGCGGGCGCGCGTCTGGCCTATGGCTAGAGCGTGGCGGCGCTTGTGTCACCTCCGCGGCCCAGCCATGGCAGCGCGCTCTCCTTCTCTCTCTTACATAAACCCGAGGCACACGGCGGCAGCGGCGGCGGCGGCGCTGGGCTCCGCGGGGCCCGGCAGGCAGGGCTCATCCTATCACAGGCACTGCACGGGGGAAGGGGAGGGGCAGGGGGAGGACAACAGGCACTATGCACCACCATCTCTGCATGCACCCGCCATCTGCCGCCCGTGCAACAAGAGAGCACGGGGATAAAGGTGCAACCTTGGACGGGAGGCGGCAGGACGCAGCCGGCGGTCCGTCCGTCCATCTATCCATCCGGCGAGGTGCAACACGTGCACGACACACATGTATACGCACTGCGCTACACATTGGCAACACAAAAATGGATCACAGCGTTTTTGCAATTCATTTACTTTTTGCACTCGTGCAAGCAAGCAGGCAAAGCAGCGCGGGTATGTATGCGCACGAAAGGCGAAACACGCAATATAATAACTTCTCAGTCGTTTCAACGGCGTTACGCTATTTTTCTCCCCTGCCCCACAACATGCCCGCCCTCGCACAGTCCAAGCGAGGGTAAATGCCACATCAGTGCGCCTGCCAGCCCGTGAGGTGAGGCCTGGCAGCCAGGCAGGCAGGCAGCCGCGCAGGCAGGCAGCCGGGCAGGCAGGCAGCCGCGCAGGCAGGCAGCCGGGCAGACTGCCACCCCCGCCCATTGTCGCCGATCAGTCCCCACAGGTAGGCGCTGCTACCTGGCCGGAGAGCCACTGTGTCCGTGGATCGACGAATCCGACCCCATTTTCTTGTCGGATAACCAAACAATGCGCGCGCCGGGGCTGCAGGCAGCCGGCAGCCGTGCCTTGGCTGGTGGTGCTGGTGCCGCTCTTCAGGTGGAGGAGATGGGAGGTGGAGATGGGTGGAGATGGGTGGAGATGGGAGGTGGAGGAGGAGGATGGGAGAATGAAGGAGGCAGGGCAGGCTGAGCAGCCGGAGCTGGGGACGCAGCTTGGGCCCCGCGGGCCTACGCGGCGCGCCGCGGCCATGGCGGCGTTGGCGGCCACTGACCGACCGCCTGACCGGCCCACGGCCCCAGGAGGGCCCCCGCCCCGCCCGTCCGGCGGCGGGCTCAGGAGGAGGATGCCACTTGCAGGGCGTTCGCAGGAGCCGGCCAGGCTGGCAGCAAGCAGCGGCAGGTACCCCTTCCTGCAGGAGGAGGAGGCAGAGCGGCCTCCTCCTCGACGCGCCGCGCTGTGGTGCGCTGCGCTGCGGTCAACGTCCTCCACCCCGCCACGGCCGCACCACCGCGTCCTGCCCGCCACGCCACGCCCTTCGGTCGGACAAAGGGAGCGCAAGCGTCCCATTGCATCGCAGGTCCGCTCTGCATCGGATCCACGCCACATTCTCTCTCGCACGACGCTCTTCACCGACTCAATGACTGGCAGGCAGGGTTGCCAGCGCCAAGAGGGGTCCAAAAAAGTGAAATAGTGACTTGACTCATTCAAAAAAGTGACAAAAAAAGTGACTTTTCCGTCCAAAAAGTGACAAAAAAGTGACTTTTCTGGTAGAAAATTTGCAATTTTTGGAGTAAAGGGCTCAAATTTTTCACACTTTCAAAGCTCTAGAGTAGTAAAATCAGTGAGGAGGAGCACAAAAAAACGGAAAAATATAAGGATTCAGTCAAAGTTTAATAGTAAAACTTTCTAAAACTTTCAAGTAACAGTTTTAAAGAACACAACATAAAATTCGCCTCGTCCTCGTCTTGGGAACACGGTAAAATGGTCAGTTTACCCTCTAGAACTCCGAAAAAGTGACAAAAAGTGACTTTTTTCCCAAAATAGTAGGAAAAAGTGACATTCCTCCAAAATAGTGAAAAAAAGTGACAATAGTGAGTCGCTGGCAACCCTGCTGGCAGGGCCAAACTTGGTCCCCCTCCTCGTCTACATACAGAGCAGAGCAGAGGCGGTCCTCGGGGGCGGCTCGGCACAGCAGCGGCACGGGGGCGGCGCGACGCTAACACTCGAGTGCCCCTGCCCCCCCCCCCATTTCCCCTCCCACTCGCGACGAGGACAGAGTGGTGTCCGAGCGCACGCACGGCGCACGGCCCGGGCTGGCCCACACGTCGTGAGTCACGGCCTGCGCCCGGCTAGCCTCCTCCCGGCGGGACTTGCCCGATTTAGCGGAGCCCACTCCTCGCAACACGCGTCAATTTTGGCACAATTTAGCAGCGAGCGAGGATGTCCGAGGCGCGCCCCGCGCGTCGACGTGGCGTGTTTTTGTGAGAGAAGTTGTCGTCCGCAGACAAACACCGCAAACACGCGAGCCAACTCCGATAAGGCGCGAGCGAGGCGGCCGCTAACGAGAGGTGCCCGGGGGCCCGCGGCGGCCCGCGGCGGCCGCGGAGCAGCGCGTCGTCATCGAGTGAGTCACGGCGGCGGGGCCCGGCCAGGGCCGCCCTCCGAGACCATCCCGTGCGCGCGGCACCTGTCGCCCTCCTTGCATGACGCCGGGGAGAACCAGCAGAGAAACCTATCACGTAACGAGCCGAGCCGGCGGAGAGAGAGAGAAAAAGGAAAATGGTCCCAGACCAGCCCAGCCCGGGCGAGCAGCCGCGGCAACTCAGCAGAGCTCAGCAGGCCGGGCGGCCGGACTTGGGCCCCCCGGCCCCGTGTCCCGTCGCGCAGGCCGGCCGGGCCGTGGCGGCGGTGTAGTGGTGGGATGAGTACAGTCCGCCGCCGCAGCCGTGACCCGGCGGCAGGCGGCAGTCCCAGCCACAAGTATACCCCGGACCCATGCCGCGGCCACGCCCGTGAGTGACGTCACGGCCTGCAGGGCCTGCACGGCGCGCGCCGCGGGCCCGCATGTCCCGCCAGGGCCGCGCCGGCGACGCCCCCATCGCGGACCCTCCCCCGCACACGCCAGGCAGTTTCGCCTCCATTTCATTAGCGCGACCCGGCCCGGCGCAGCCCCTTCCCTCCCCGTCGTGTCCTGCTCTCACATGGTCCTTCCCCGACGGCCCCGCCCGCCAGGGCCGCGGCTACGGTGAGCCGACTGTGGATAGGGCGTCGCGCCTGGCGGCCCGGCGACGACGCCGAGCGAAGCGAGCGGCGAGGAGAGAGGGGGAGGTGGTGGAGATGCTGCGGGCCGGGCCCAGCCGGGTCGCTCTGGTCGCTCTCCATGCATAGCATCTTCCAATCAGCAGAACAATCGATCCAGGCCGCACGCCCGCCAACCCTGCTGCGGGTC